AATATTAAAGGTATTATTATTATTATGATTATTATTTTACAATTGATATATTCTAACTAATTTAAGCAATATTATAGATATACAAATTTTTTATCCTTCAAAAAAATACTCAAATGGTTGCACTGATCTTTTTTGACTATTGGAGTTAAACAAAAAACAATTAATGAATAACAGGTCACCACCAAAACTATCAGCAAAACCACACAAACCTAGCCGTATTCTTCATTCAATCTAACTTCAAGATATAGATTATAAAAGTTCACCACTTTCAGTTCAAAAAAGAAAAACAACAAGTATAAGAAAGACAAACTGAAATATTAATATAATTATTCACTTAATTTTACTTATTTATGATTGAAATTTAATTTTATTTAATTTTATTTAATTTAATTTTCTTTAATTTTATTTAATTTTCTTTGAATATAGTATCAAAATAATGAAATGTCTTATCCAAGCTTCGGAACAACCTCAAAAACTATTAATAAACACTTAGTAACTGTAACACCTGAATTATTAAATATGACACTTCAACAACCATCTAACATGCATCCTATTGTTACTTCTTAATTGCAACCCACGGTACTTGAAACTTACTAGTCTATTTCAACTACAAATTCTTAACTTATAGTGACTCAGAAATACTAAAACACAGATTAAACCTGGCATGTCAACATGTTTTGAATGTTATTAAGCACTAAATATAGTCAATTAAACATAATAATGTGTTTAGTTCTTTTGCTGTAGTAAAGCTAAGTTTATGCATAAATATACAATAAATGCAACATCATGTTTAATGAATAATTAAATTCTATAAAAACAAAAAACTAATAATTATAATGATGTAATTAAACATGGCAATTAGCATTAATAACCAAAAAGAAGTGATTAATTATTTTTTTACATTATTTATTTCAATTTTTGTTGCTGCTTTTTTCATAATATGCATGATAATAGTTATTGATACTAATGTTATAGTACTGTAAGTTTATTGGTTGAATCTTTTTTTTTTTTTTTTTTTTTTTAATTCTTTGACAGTCTCGTCAGTACTACATTTATAAGTTAATACACTAAACTAAAGTTTTATGTATATATACCCTCCAATTGCAAGCCCGGCATCATCCAGCTATCCTAGACGCCCAGATGCGACCTGTCGCACTAGTTATCAAATAACTAGAAGACTTGTCAGCTCTGTCAAGAAC